TGAGTTGCGCCAATGCATAAACAAGTATTTATTTAAGTCCCTGGGAGATGATGTCATGAATGATATTAAAGGTGATAAGCTTGCTTTTCTTGCCGCTTCATCAGCGTGCACATTCCCTGGGATGCCTTTGTGCCCAGGAACCCAGAAAATTTTTAGTTTGTTCTGATGTTTGATGAGTGTATCTCTAATTTGTTGAATAACCAGGTTGTCGTTGTAAATATTCCTAATAGCTGCTATGACAGACATGCTGTCCGTACAAACCACATACTACCCTTTGTTTCTTGTTGCAAAATCTACCGCTTCCTTTATGGCAATTGCTTCAGCCGTAAAAATAGAATAGTGTGACGGCACACACCCGTCAATGATGAGTGTACCATCACGATGAACGACAGCGAACGTGGTGTTTTGAACAGATTTGGAGCCAGTCAGTGAATATTGGAGTCCAGTTTACAAGCTCATGGTTGTTCAACTCTTCCAAAAAAAGCCTTTGGAAAATAACATTGCTAGTTAGAGTTTTAGAATGCACGTCAAATTACTATTTAAAGAGTTTGTCTGCAAAAGCCATGGTGCCTTACAGCTGATTTTTTTACAAGACAACGGTATTTGGATGTTTAGCTTTTTGCAAAGTGATACACAGCGTCGCATGGTTGACACCGTTGAAAATTTACGTTTGTGTCTGGAAGCATACTTGAAAGTATCAAAAAGCGTTTTGTTTGTGGTATTCAGTAGTTTAGCAATTAATTTGTATGATATTAGGTCCCTTCTTTCCGAGATGGTTGGAAGTCCAGCTTCAGCCAATATGCATTTTACGGGTGTCGTTGGAAAGGCGTTTAAACTCCGACGGACAGCTGTATGATACGGTGCTTGGAGAAGTCTTAGGTGGCTATTGGCACACCAACCATAAATTGCAAGGCCATAGTCTATTTTTGACAGGAAAAGTGCTCGTGTTACATCTAGTAGTGTGTTAGGGTGAATGCAGAGATGCTTAGACGATAAATATTTAATAATATTGAGCCTGGTAGCTAGATTTTTTCTTACAATTAAGCAATGTTCCTTAAACGTAAATTTCGAATCGAAAGTTACACCAAGAATTTTTAAATTTTTCACATTTGAAATTATTGTGTTATCTACATTAACGTTTAACGGACTGCAGTTACGTTTGCGACATATATGCAGTATTTTACACTTTTGATAGGCTAGGGTTGTACCAGATCTTAATCCCCATCGTTTTATTTCAATTAAGAGTTTGGAAAACTCGTTTTGAATCACTGCTGTATCTTTGCTTTTTGTGTAAAATACTGCATCGTCCGCATAGATACTTATGTTAATGGTTTTGCTAAACACTATTTTGTTTAGCTGCTCGAATGCTATCATGAATAAAACTACCGATAAAGGTGAACCTTGTGGAATTCCGTTCATTAGTGGATAAGATTTAGATAACACACCGTTGACCTTAACTTTGAAGCACCGTCCGGACATAAAAGACTTTATGATGTGAAATACTTTTGAACCAACTTTCCAGTTCTTTAACTGTTCCAGGACAATGTGAACACCGATGCGATCATAAGCTCTCTCAAAGTCTGTGGCCAACAACGTGACGTGGTTTTTTGTTGAAAGTGCATCTGCAATGAAATGTTGTATATGTAGCAATGCATCAACAGTCCCGTGATTTTTTTTAAACGCAGTTTGGTTGTGACTAACTAGTTTATTTTTTACGATAAACCACATTAGCCTTTTGGCTAGCATTTTTTCAAAAACTTTACTTAGACACGACAAGAGAGAAATTGGACGATAACCGGCCACAGAATCCGGGGGCTTATTGGGTTTCTGGAGAGGAATAATTAGAGCGAAAAGCCACGTATGTGGAAAAGTTCCCTTATTCAATATTAAATTATATAAAGACAATACTGTTTGTTTCGCTCTGGGTGGTAGGTTGCGAATCATCGGGTATGATACGCGGTCGAATCCCGGAGTTTTCCCTTTGGCATGCTGAAGAGCAATTTCTAGTTCCAAGATAGAAAAGTTAACTTCTAGGCTCATGGCATCTACTGAAAGTTTAAGAGGAGAATAAGTTTGACTCAATGTAGTTTGCTTTTGGTTTACGTATTCGATTGAAAAGTTTGAGTCTCTAGCATATTCGGACCACGCCGAAGCAAAGGAGTCAGCTATTTCTGGCGCTGAGGTTAGAAGCGAATTATTGTGACTTATGGCAGTTATAGCAGCTGGGGGAGTACCAGTAAGGGCCTTAATATCAGCCCATACTTTCTTTGGGGAGGAGTTTGGATTAATATTCGCTGTGAATAGCCCAATCGATTTTCGTTTTGCTACCTTAACTGCACGTTTGAAACGCGCATTTGGCTTTTTTATAACTTACGAGGTTGGACACTGTGCAATAACGTTTGTATGTTTGCCAGAGCTCTCGTTTAGTCGCTCGTAACGTGCTTAGCTCGCTACTCCACCACGGGGTGCAAGACCTTGAAGCCTTTGGGTTACTCTGAGGTATAGACTTGTTTGCTGCTACCCGTATAGCTTTTGTTACATTTGCAGCTAACTGGTGAACATTTGTTTCGTGCCCAGTGGGAAATTGGTCTAAACAAACTGATTGAAAAAAGGGCCAGTCGGCTAGGTCTGTTAAAAATTTGGGCCATTTTTTTAAATTTGACGATCTGAAATCGTTTTGAAACTTTATTAAAATGGGATAGTGATCACTCCCATACAATTCGCCAAGAACTTGCCATGTTAATTTAGGGCTCAAGCCTGATGCTACCATAGTAATGTCGACGTGGGTAAACGTATTATGCGTAGATAGATGAGTAGGGGAGCCATCATTGAGAACAACCAAGTTTTCGCTTAAAATCATATCTTCTATTAGAGTTCCTCTTGGGTTGGATTTGGCCGAACCCCAGAGTGGGCTCCAAGCATTGAAGTCGCCGAGAAATAGAGGGTGAAAGCGGTTTTGTCCGAGTAAACCAGTAAGGTCACTTGCAGTAAAGCTTTGTTTTGGAGGAATGTATGAATTAATTATCGTAATAGGGGGACTTAGACATATATCTATACCTACCAGATTGAATGGGAGAATTATATGTTATATATTTATGTGGAATGTTACTTTTAACTAACAATGCAACGCCTTGTTTTGAAACATTATTGTTACTATTGTTAGAAAAATAACCAGTGTATGTTTTGGGAACTAATACATTGTTTCTGTTGAAGGGAATGTGTGTCTCCTGAAGGCAAATCACATGTGGCTGAAAAGCTCTTATTATTTCCTCTAACTCATTGTAGTTATTAAAATATCCTCTTAAATTCCATTGTATTATTCTTAAGGGCATTCCAGCAGTAAACAAATAAAAATGTGTTATATTGTTTAGAAATTAAATTAATAATTAGATAAACTTAAGTTAGTTGAACTGTATGAATCATTGTTGATATTTCCATGTGTTACAAATCCAATATTTGATGTTGTAGTGGGCGTATCAATTTCCATTGTACAATTTGGAACGTCTAGTGTGCTTATGTTTTCTGTGTTTTTGTTTTTCATTATTCTTTCCTCGATCGATGACAAAATTGACGAGAGATTTGTTGTTGTTTGCTCAGGTTTATTGCTTTGCTGCTTTTTGTTTTCTGTGGATGGTGTTATTCTCTCAGAGTTCGTTGAAGTTGTTGTTGTGGACGATTTTATGTTTTCATTTTCGGTGCTAGAGTTAGTAGTGGAATTGTTGTTGAGTGTTATTGAGTTTGGGGTAATTGCTGATATTGCTGTACTATTTTCGTTTTCTTTAATTCTGTTGGCGAATGTGGATAAATTTTGCACTTGAGGTGGATTTTGTGTTCTGTAGATCTTGATAGCATCACGCATTGAACATTTCTTTTCCGTTTTGATCTTTAATATGTCTTTCGACTGCTGGTATTTTGGGCAATTTTTTGAAGAAGCTGCATGCGGGCCGAAGCAATTTGCGCAAGACATTCTCGTACACGACGTTTGTGGTAGATGAGGTGGTAAGTTGCAGGAATCGCAGGCGGGGGGATTCTTGCAGAAGTTCTTTGTGTGACCTAATTTTTGACACAACTTACAACGCAGGGGATTCGGCAAATATGGTCGCACTGTGGTGACTTCCCAAGCTATATTTATTTTGTCTGGCAAAAAATAGCTATCGAATGTAAGAAGATGAACCCCAGAAGGCACAGCATTTCCTTCGACTAAGCGGGTGAATTTGTGAATTCCGACTACATTGTACTCCTTTAGACCCTCTATTATTTCGTCAACAGGGACATGGTTGAGGTATGGGGCATATATTGTCCCTTTAACATAGTTCAGGTTTTCATGCAATTTACATGAAATTCTACAAATACCCGGTAGTGTATGGGCAGCCAAGAACTTGTTAGCTATTTCTTTGGTTTTCACCAGTAGTAGCAGACTCCCATCACGCAATGGCGTGATTTTATTTATTCCATTATTGATTGCTAGTAAAGCTTTATGCACTGCGAATATCGAATACGAATTAATTGGCTTATTTTCATCGACGGCTTTTATTATGAGGAATTTAGGACTGTCTTTTCTGGTCACTGGTAACTCAGGGAATTCTTCAGTAATGGGATTTATTTTCTTTCTTTTCCCGCGAGGGGTTGGAGACAACAGTGCAAACCTATTGTCCCCGAAATTAAAGGCCCCCTGGGCCATTGCGATGAAAAATTAAAGAGTTTTACCACGTGTGAGTTTGAGTTGGAGTATAATATAGGAAAACACCGACAAACTATACGGTGCTTATGTGTAAAAACGAAAGAAGGTGAAAAAACACGCACTGATAACAGTTGTCCGCTAGCGACCGATCGTATTGAGTAATAGACGGTGACTGTTCCATTAATATATTTATGTTTTAGAACGTTTTAACTGTGACCAGTTTTTTTCGTGTACATTCTTTAGTAAAAATTGAGCTATCTTAACGAAACTTAGTACGAGTACTTCTTTCGGGCGATGGACGGACGGTATTGAAAATGGGAAAAATCGGACAATAACCACGCCTACCTCTCATATAACTACTGAAGATTATTCCCTCAAAATTGATATTTACAACAATTTTTAAACGCAAATTAAGAATATTATAAATCTTTGGAAAATGGCGTACCACGCCCATTTATGATTACATGGTTATATCTTGGTAACCGCTCCACCAATTTCTCCCAAACTTGTTGGTCTTGGTACGACTTACCAAATTTCTGAAAATTTAAAAAATCGGACAATAACCAGGCCTACATCCCATATAACGGTAATTTAGAGAAATACGAAATCTTCAATAAATCAGTAAATAAAGAAGCTAATTTATTCAAAATTGATGTTTGCAATAATTCTTTAGCAAAAAATACGATTTTGATCAAATTTTGGAAAATGGGCTTAGCACCGCCTACTTATGACCATATATGTATATCTCGGTAACCGTTCGATCAATTTGAACCAAACTTGGTACGATTATTAAGCTTGCCACATAAAAGCAAAATGTTGAAAATTATTGAAATCGGACTAAAAGTACGCCCATTTTTCATTTAACGGTAAATTTCAGAAATGCTTGAAACTTTGATATTTCGAAATTTAAGGGCGCTAATTTACTCAAAATTGATACAAACGAAAATCCCGTGAAAAGAATTAGCATTATTATGGAATTTCGGAAAATGGGCGATGGGATTGAAGTTGTTTGAAATAGGGGTAAAACTACCCCTGCTTACCGTGTAGCGGTAGTTTTCGGAAAGCTGAAAGAAAACAAGATTTAATACTTGCGCCGGGTATTTAATGTTCGGCTCTGCCCGAACTTAGACTTTTTTACTTGTTATTAGAAAAATATGGTTTTTAGTACAACAAGAACTGAAAAAAAAACAAAATAAGGGAATTTGACAAATTAATTAATCAGATTTTTTAGAAATATCTCGGATATGTAGATTTGTAGCCGATAGAGTATTGGAACTTTTTTTCATCCTTTCCTAGTTTTTGGACAAAGTTTCAAATTTTGGTTTTTAATGTACAACTGTGTACTTATGAACCAGATTTGTATAAAAAATTAACATAAATAATGTAACATGAAACGCATTGTGAGTATTAACAATATCAAAATAGTTGGGGGTGTCCCACTTTGTCTGTGAGTAGCTGTGAGTGTATGATGTGAACAATGAAATAAAAAACCTACAGACTATTCCAAATATTATTTACCCCGCATATTTCTTCTAAATAGGTGCAGTCGTTTCGCATAGTAGGTTTTTAATATTATCAAATTTGAAATCACCCTGTAACGATAAAAGTTTATAAATTTAAATAGGCAAGTTCTTTATTTTCCAGGTTATACAATTTGTTTTCGAGTAAACTTCTACAATGTTTAATTTGAGTTCGAAGCGAATTTGTTTTAAATTTACTCGGAAGTGAACTGCAAAATCTACATAAAAGCCTTTTCAAACCCTTTTCGATTGATATCCATCCTTTAAAAATTCAATTAACAACAATTAAATAATTTGAATGCAGCTTATAGAATACGTGGCAACCCTCGTAAATATATTTCAGAAATAAAGTCTTTTCAACCCCATTACGATTGACTCCCATATTTTAATAATTCATTTGACTTATTAAATAATTTGAATATTTGAACAGGTGGCAACACCCAAAAAATATTCCTAGTATTCAAACTAAAGATTTTTTAACAAATGCTAAAACACATATTTGCATTAGGTAAGCCCTTATTTAAGTTAGGTTGGAGTTTTTAAACATGTGGCAACTCTCCCAAATATATTTCCGGAATAAAGCCCTTTCAAAATCATTTCGATGATAACCATATTTTAATAATTCATCCAACTTCTTAAATAATTTGAATGTCGCTTTATAAACACGTGTCAACACTCTTCAAACATTTTAAATGTTCGTACTCAAGTTTTTTAACACCCTTTCACTCCATATTTCAGATAACTTGCGTAAAGGTTAATTAAATTTGACTTTTTAAACATGTGACACCTTTCGTCAAAAGTAGTTTCGCGCTAAGATATTCTTAAATATTCTTCCTCCAACATTGCGATACATATTTTAATTAACTGATGAAATAAGTTGAATTTTATTTTTTAAACATGTATTTCAAACCCATTCGATTGATACCCATATTTTAATAATTCATTTAACTTATTCAGTAATTTGAAATAAATTTTTAGACAGATGGCAACCCTCTTCCAGCACCTCAAAAATATTCTTAATGTTTAAACTAAAAACTTCTATTTTGACATTTCATATAACTTTTGGATAAGTTAACTAAACTCGATGTTTCAAGCAGGTAACAATCCACTTCAAAATATTTTCAAACTGCTACTTACTGAGCCCTTTTCGTTTGGCACCCATATGTTGGAACATTTGTTTCCTATTTAATTTCCTTGATTCAAATTTAATTTGATTTTTTAACCAGGTGGGAACCCTCTAAAAGTTAAGTTAAGAAAGAAAGATTTTCAAAACCATTTCCATTGATACCCATTTTGTAAAATTGAATTTTTTCAGATAATATGAATATAATTTTTGAAAAGGTGGCAACTTTTTCAAAAAAGTTAAACCTTGTTGCATATCAGGAAAATCGAACGAACAGCGCGGTTATAATGGCATTGCTTATTAAATAATTTGAATATTATTGTTATAGAGGTGGCAACTCTGTTCGAAAAAATAACACCAGTTTGCGAGCGAACGGTGCAGATCTTTTATCCTGAACAAACAATCCCCTCGCGTATTATATATATATATATAGATAACTGCCCTCTTACGTGCGTAAAAAATACCTCATTCATGTATGTAGTATTTAAGTAGCTCAGGGATTGAAAATTTGTATCATATTATCTTATCGAAAATACAGAGTTGACAATGAAAATCATAATCAAAAAAGTTTAGCTTAAGGTGACTTAATTTTCAAAGTCTTAAGGTATTTCTTCGGTACGAGAATTGAGTCTGATCCTAAGCACACTTTCTATGCAGAGTTTCTCCTTATCTTAGGACAGGGCTGGCGAAACTAAGGCACGCGTATTAATTTGGTTGATGACCCAACTCTTCAAATACTAGTAGTAGTTACTACCTCCTAATCGCAACCATTTCTTTTTTCGTTAAAACTGGAAACGAAAGCAAGATCTATTCACACCCAAAAATATAAGTCAAAAGTGCCAAAAATATGGATATTATTCAACAAAATCCACAAAAGACATTCGATTTTTGAGTTCTAGGTTATTATTCATCTACAAGCTTTGTGTGAAAAGCATGGTTTTGCCTCCGTTGTAAAATAATGGGCGTGGTCAGAAAAATAGTGAATTACATATCTTCGCAGGCAATAAATAAACGAAGGCATGTGTCTTATATGTACAAGGCTTATAAAGATTATGGTTTTTACGGATGTATGTCAATAATTATTGAATTTGAACATAAAGTTTCAAGGCGCCAATAAAACTGTTTTTAATTATGAAAAATCTCATTCGCGCCTATAAAAGTTTCAGGAAAAGATATCGATTACAAAAATTATAAATGTTTCCCAAACTTAAAAAATTAAAATATGATTGAGACTTACATGAAAATCCAAACGGTGGAAGAGGCACCGAAGAGTTTTTTTTGGTAATAAATTTTCTCATCGAAGAAATTTCATCGAAGTTTTCTGAATTTAAGGAGTTCTAGGAAACACTCAAATGTATTACGTATCCTGTAGCTCGTTTCTGTAACAACCCTGTAGTCAAATGTACTAGTTGTAAACTACCTCACAACTAGTATGAACCGCATGCCCAACTAGTCAGCCAACTATCTTTTTTCCATACAATCAACTGGTATTTTTAACATGGGGATGTCCTACGAGATGGCAATTGTCAGATTTCGGTCAGAAATATACCAGTCTCATACTAGTTCAAAATAGACAGAAAAATACTAGTCCAATTATGGACCAAAGCCACTTTAATATATTACATATTTTCATTTAGCAGCCT